TAAATATATAAATATCTTTGCGTTTTGGACTAACTTTAAAATATTCCCATGCTTTTGAAGACCTAGGGCGAGATGTTTTCGTTTGAGGGCTTCGTGCGCAATCCTGTGAGGTTTCAGTCTCCATTGTGTTAGAAGTGCGATTGCGAACTGCTTGTTGCTTTGGGTGACGACCAATACAGACCGATACAGTCTATGGTGGCGACGCGTCGACGCTGAAATATGTCGTCGACGATATTTTGAAGTCGACGCGTCGACATCGTCGACGCGTCGCTACAGCACTAGTATACATGCAGTTTCTCTGGCAATACTAGCTGCTCCACTACTCCCCTTTGGCCATCCTGGATGTGGCGGTACATGATACCATCCCTCACCATTAACCTCCTCCACTCTTTTAAAAGAAGGCACACCTGCCCACCACCACTGACCCTCTCGCTGTGGCTTGGTTTCCGGTTCAAACTTTTGTAGTGCAAGATGGGGCCAATGACAGAGTCCTCCTTCTGCCCCACACGGATCTCCTGTTTTGTCATGGCAGGCAGGGATTCCGTCCCCACCTCCCTGTAGGGCTCACTTGACATGCCCGGCCCAATGTCTTGTGAGTCAGGGTTCTCTGCGGCAGTGTTCTCATCAGGGGGCCCTCCTGGTTCTAGTGTGGGCTGTGTCTCCCCATGCACTCTCACATTGATCCCCACCCGCTGAGGACAGGTTTGTAGGACCTGTGTGACCTCCTGGTTTGACATACGGGAGAGGGCATCTGCATTTGCGTTACATTGTCCCCTCCGATACTGGATGTCAAAGTGGAATGTAGACAGCCGAGACACCCATCGCTGACCGGTAGCATCCAGCTTTGCAGAGGACATCACATATTTGAGGGGGTTGTTATCCGTCTGGACAGAGAATGGACGCCCATAGAGATGGTCGTAAAACTTGTCTGTCACTGCCCACTTCAGAGCAAGGAACTCCAGTTTGTGTGCAGGATACCTCGACTCGGCCGGGCTCAAGCCTCTGCTCGCATAGGCTATGACTCTCTCAGCTCCATCCTGGACTTGAACCAAGACAGCACCAAGCTTGAACCAAGACAGCACCAAGCCCCTGTCCCGACGCATCGGTCTGAAGCACAAAAGGTAGGCTGTAATCCGGGTAACCCAGTACTGGAGCAGTCGTCAACTTTTGCTTCAGGGACTGAAAGGCTTCTTCACACTCTGTAGTCCACAAAAAGGGCAGCTCAAGACCCAAAATTGTCTTCCTTCCTCTTATTTTCTTCCTGGGGTCACCAGTTGTCAGGCGGTATAAAGGAGCAGCGATGCTCGAGTAGCCACCAACGTACCGCCTGTAATATCCAGCAAACCCTAAGAACTGCAACACTTCCTTCCTGTTTATAAATAAACATTTAAATTAACCCATTAATTAAATGGAATGTTTGGACGTTTTTAACACTATAATGTGTACAATTATTTGCCGCCATTAACACTGCTCACCTTTTGCGGAGTGAATATAAACATTAGCGCCAAGATGGCGGCCGCACCCAGAACAACAAGAGAAATACGGTGTCCCACAATGGACAAAAAACAACAACATGCTGCGCAACAGCAACACCTAGTGGCCTGTCAAGGCTGTTACCTTACATTAATAAACAAGAATACAGTTTGAAAGTGGAGTGATTTGTAAAATATCCATAAAGAAAATCTGCTTACAGTTCTGTTTCGTATGGGTGTTGAGATGTATCCATAGATCTACTAATGTTGCTCTCAAAGTGTACCAGATTGATGCTTTTAACTTCAACATTTAAAAAAAAATCTTCCCGGGGGAGCATGCACCCCGGACCCCCCTAGAGGAGGTTAGGTCCCCCCCACTTAAATCATGTTCACATGGATAGGAGTCTAAATACATTTGCACACATCTTGTGTCCATATCTTTCTGTTTGGGTGGCCATGCCACAACCGTGCACGTGCATGCGCGAGTCATGGTAAGATATCTGGATTAAGGGGTTGCTTTTTTTTGCACAGCATGAAAGAAAGGTGAAATGAGTGGGCTGTGATTTTAGTATTTTTAAGCAGAGGTCAATAATTTGTACGGCCCTCGGAGGATGTTGAAAACATTGAAATGGCCCTTGAGAGGAAAAAGGTTCCCCACCCCTGGTCTACAGCTTGCCAAGTGTATCTATTTTCCCCGTATTGTTGCTTTTAAAACCTTTCTTTTTAGTTGTAGCAGTTGTGGGAATTGTAGGTTATCCTGCACTGACATGCTGTCACACTGTCTAATAGTTTCTCACAGAAGGTAGGGAATGTAGTTTGTCTGACAGTAGTCAGCAGCAAGGCAATGAGCACAATGTCAGAATTCATCTTCCTCATTGCACTTCCAGTATCACTTGGTCACTAATCTCATATCGACATTTCCTTGGCACATGAGAATGGCACCCTTTGCCACTTCAAAGAGCTGCCACAAAGACATGTACTCAGGCAGAGTGTTTTACAGCTGAATGGTAAAGTATTCTTCACTGACGCTGCCCCACCATCTGCTCAGCTACTTTCAGCCGACTCACATGCTGCACAGTACTGTAAACATCAGTGTGCAGGACAAACAATGTAGCGAACAGACTGTTAAATTAACTCAAGTGGTTTAGCGTGTTAGCTTTGTTATGTTTTGTAGCCGTTCCTGAAGAAAGTGACATTTTGGAGGTAGGAGTAGTAACAAATGTTGAAAGTGTGGAATGAAGCTGTAAGTCAACTGCACACATCTGCTTCTTGTTCTAGTTTTTCAACACAGTCCTGCAAGTGAATTACCTCCAGTCAGATTGAAACGTCTGTCATGCATTGCCAGACCTGAGGAAACATGCAATACATTGAAGAGTGTACTGTTCTAGTCTTTGGTATGTCTGCTACAGCGGAGATGCTCATATTCATCCCATTGGGAGCCTCTAAACATGAGCATCTATGATGGATATTTTGATTTTGAATTGGCCAGTTGGCAGATTTACAACTCAAAATGTGTAGTTATCTTTAAAGAATTGGTCCTTAATTACAGACAGTAGTCGATATGCTCTGCAATTCTAGCTGATCGTCATTATTTTCAACTGAATTGACAACTGCTTCTGCTAGATTGCATTAGCTGTAGCTAGATAGCTCATAAAGCTAACATTAGCTCCAAGACATGATTAAAAAAAATTCTCCAACTCACTTTTTAGTATTTGAACCTAATTTAAAAACAAGAACATGGGTCCTTCAAATATACCCCTGATGGATATATACAGTCTGACATCATTATTTTATAATTTTCCTTTTCTTGCAGTATAGAGTTAGTTAGCCGGGCCCTATACTGTATATCTCATGGGACTGGGATTTTCCGCCCCTATATTTTCTGAAGATGTTATTAGAGGGAACGGTTCTTCCGTATACACATGCAGCACTCGTGGAACCATCAGGCATTTATTCCTGCATTCATTATTAAACCATGATTTGATACTTTGCATAATTAGCTACAAATGAGTCCTCTTTGTGATATCTCTCATGTCCCATGCTGGGGGGGCGGGGGGGACTCCCTCATCATTGTATAAGGAAATTATATATTCAACAGTATCATCATTTTTCAGTTTCATAATTGTTTCCAATTACCCACAATTGTAAAACAGTGTCATAATAAAGTAGGGAAAGGGGACTGCATGATATGAATAGGATTTGAATTGGGTTGAGTTTAATGGGTCGTAAATTACATATTCTGTCACACCAAGGTTGTTAAGGCGCATTTGGAGAGCCGTGTGTGTGTTCATCTCTGAGTGTGTGTGAGAGTCTCCAGATGAAATGGAGGTACATTGTGTACTGAAAGGTATACTTTTCATCAGAGCACCGCCATGGTGATTCCCTTTCATTTTGCTGAGGATCTCTCACATCAGCTTCAGGCAAAAGAAAAATGCAACATGCACAGCAAAGATTTCTGAAAAGCTTGAAAGCACAGAGGACAGGTATATTTTCCCAACTTGAAAACACTGGTTGGACTGCTCCTCCTCACCAGCTGCTGCTAATGGCAAAGATGTTCTGGTAAATTCTGAAGATGTTAGTAATTTATGTCTGCAAGCGGCCAAGTCAAATAGGAATATTATTATAATTTGAAAAGAGCCCACTCTCCAGCCTTATCTGTATAATTAATTCAGCAGCATGTGCCACGACTGTGAAGGGTTGGAGGCTGCAAAATAATGTCAGCATCCTGGACAACCAGTATTAAGCTCATATCATACAGGATTTGAAACCCTATAGTGAAATTAAATAGGCTTTATCACGCTATAAGCTCCTCACCTGCCTACAGCCTAACCCTTAGCAGTTATATCACAGGTCAACAAAAACAAATAAACCTGAGGGGGGAAATATCTTGTCCCCTCTCATTTTATAATTATTTTGATAGTAATTAGAAAAATGTTAAGGACAGCAATGTTATGTTTTATTGATATACAATCAAGAACTGTAGTGTTGTTATCGTTACCATGTATTTCCTGCCTCCTCCAGCAATATTCTCCCTCTTTAAATCAGTTTTGGCACACTGGGGCTTCATGCCGGTTTCATACAGTACGTGTACTTGTTTTTTACCTCATGCCTTGCAGTTCATAACACGGTTAAACCCATGAGGCTGCTGTTACTTCCCCTTAGGGACTCATACAGTATACTGTGTGTCCTCCTCATTTCCTACTTTGGGACATTTCAATCTCTTTTGGTGTCACTAAAATAGTCCTAGTAGGACTTACATGGTGCCAGTGGTGATCACAAGTGACCTTATCATGCTCTGTTTCATCTCTGGTGTAAGGGATTTGTTCAGGATTTTCAGCAGAAATCTTTAATCTTTCTAAGATTTTGAACCTGTGTTAGTCACATTAGTCCAGCTCTTTTAGAAAATAAAAAGATTATTATTATTAAAACAACAAATAATGCCTTCTTTTCTGCGCCACTGCACATCGGTGTGTAAGTAACAAACAAGGTGATGTACTTATTTTAAAGAGAAAAGATCATTAAACTTACCATGCTTTTTCTTTATTTGGTGAATTGTTGTCTTCTTTCTTTTTGAATTATGCTGAGCACAAAAGCAAACAGGGAATCCCAGCATCGGTGTCCTTCATTTATGCACGTCCAGTACAAACAAGCGAAATAGTAGACTGTTACATTCAGAGGGAATCGGACAGCTTCGGTAGTCTTCACATCTCATCTGAAAGGAGAGCGTTTAAGTACAATCATAAATGATTTCAGTTGTCCGGGGAAACTTGAGCGACTCTAATTTATGACATTCAGCTTCAAAAATATATTTTCGCACAGATAAACCGCAAACATTTCTGAAAAGTGTCAAAAGTGCGGTGTCCGTATAGCTCCATCTGACGTTTTAAAGCGCAGCTTTGGTGTGCTGCCCTCAGCAGCCCTGGGGAGAGACACGATCCCCGCTGCTCCGGGGGAAGATCACAGAGACGTCAACAAGTTGCTTTCAAATCTGCGTTTCTGTGAGGTGTTGATGGGACTGGCTGCACGGCATCGCTTTGTGCGCCTTTTTACATACACACTAGAATACACACACGCACATATACGCACGCGCGCGCAAACACACACACTGAGTGAATTTAATCGACGGAAACCACAGGCGTGTTTCCTAGTAATCCAGTTGTTTTGACACTCCATTTCTTTTAAGGAAGAGGTTCTCAAGATCAGGTGCAGGGACCTCAGAGGCCACGCTGCAAAGCAGTATTTCGGGATAGACCGATATTGACTAAATACCTAATTGAGCTTGGAGAGGAAGCCATATTCATTTGGATAGCCAAAAATACCAAAAACTGCCGACATGGTGCTTTAAAACAAACGTTCATGTTTTTGGTAAAAAAAATAAAAAAATTACAGCATAGGCTATGGCAGCTATATGATCATCCTGGATTCCAAGCAGGATTTCAAATTTGCATTGAATATCCAATTAAACTTCCCATACCATTCCTACAGGATTGGTCCCCTGCTATATTTCCCTCATGTTTCTGTTCTGCCTAAGTCTGAACCATACATCCTAGTATAGTGTAGTTGCATGCATTAGTTGCATTACAATTTCAAGACTTCTAAAACCTCGTCCCTCCTCACACATATAGCCTACTCTTTAAGTCGATACAGTGTTGATGTGATATGCACTGTAATCCTGGAGCAGCATCCTGGGTCTTTACTAGCTTTACCGTGAAAGTGAGTCAGCAACACAGATATTCACTGTTGCAAGGCAGCATGACTACAAATTACTAGCAGTCTGCGAATGTTGCTCTGTAAGCGAAACAAAACCACTGGTACTTTTAAAGTGTTAAAACTCAAATATATAAAAAATATTCCCTTTGATTTAATTTAAAACCAAGAATGAAGTAAGTAGTATTTTTTTCTGTGGCAGAGTTTGTGCAACGTATCATTTTACAGCTCATTTACATGTAAACAAGACAATACCACAAATTATGTACAGATTAAGATGAAGGGTTCCCTGAAATAACTCACATCTTTGTGGTGAGTTATAAATATTAATGCTGCTCAGGCTGTTTGAGCAGTGTGAGTTTTAGGCCAAACTAATGTCACAGATTAAAGCAGAGTGATATAGAAAACTGCAGCATTCAGCTGATATGTCCTCCTCCCCTTTTTGAGGTAAAACTGCACAACTGTTAAGTAATGAGACTGCAGAAACCTGGTTATTGCATCTATTCGCCAATTTGCTACTTATTTCCAAAAGTGGAGGAAACTGCCTGCTGAGAAAAACCTTGGAAATGTCAAATGATAAACCCACACCTCAGCCTTATTCTCCTCCTATATCAACTATGCCACATTGCAGAGACATGTATTGGGAAGTAATGAGCAAGAACAAATAAAAAGAACATCAAAGATTAAACACACCGAATGTCTCCAATATAAACTGGAATGAGAGAGATACTGTAGCAGTTAAATCTGAGAGACCATGGCAAAACAAAGTCCCTTAAAGTCCCCTTAATAATGCCGTTGCTCTATGGAGAATGCAGTATTCAGCATTAAGTTGCCATCAACAGTATTTCTTCCCTTTTCCACAAATCCATTTTAAGCAAATGCACAATTCAGACAGTTATTAAACGTGTCTGTCTGTCAGAAATCACCTTCATTTATACTGATGTTCTCTATTAACTATTGTGATTCTTCTCCATTTCCTGGTGAATTAATCTCGAGAGAATTATTTGAAAAGCTCCACTTTAAAGTACAACTAAAGTGTCTTGAAATTATTTTACATGCTCTGTGCTAATTTAAAAAGACCGTTCTTGTTAGTTCATTAAATACTTTGATTAAACAGCTTTTTCTCTTCCATCTCCTGTATATTTTATCTTTAATTGAATCAATAGCAGCTCCTTGAAAGCTAATTAGCAGGCTCTTCAAGTATAGAAAATGGTAATGAAGAAATTACACACAGACACTTTTTCGATGTGGTTTATTTATGGCCACGCAGACTTGTAATAATCATAGCATTTTCTTATGGGGTTTTTCAGGTTTAGGCGACAACACTTATGGCTAATGTTAAAGAAAGTATTGTGTTTTAGGTTCAAATGACGTGTTTGCGTTTTTAGAGCGGACACAAACAGCAGTCTGTTTGTGAAAGTCCTGTGTTTGTTTTACTTAATTAAAGTACTGTTGTGTCTTTAGAAATGCATTAAACGCAAACAAAACATGCATATTTAAATACCATAAGCAGTGAATACAGTATGAAAACACTCAATAACTACAAACACCTCCCTATACTCTGCAGTAACAGTTTATGACTCTTTTCCAAATCAACAGACTAATTTTCCCCTCAGTGACTTGAAACTCATTGCAGTAGCAGCTTGGTAACAGCGAGACTCCAATAAATCCCATCACATCTTTATTTGAGCTTTTTAAAACTTAGTGGTAAGTGAAGCAGGATGAGTGTGCACATTATAACGTCCTGGAGACTGACCAAGTAGGAACCAGATATCTTTATTACCTCTCCAATGTAAACACTTAAACTATCAAACCCCTCCCTGGTCCTAAAGCACAGAACAAAGGCATACTTGTATTGATATCATATCCACAAGGAAACAACATATCCCTCAAGGTTTGAGACATTACACGGTACAGCTTTTTTAAATGTAATTTTTACCTGAAATGCAGTCATTTCCAAACGTTAACTACGTCTTAGTTTATATAAATCGCAAAAAACAGCCTTTCCTTTGCATTGATAGATTTTGATATCGATTTTTAGGCCAAACATTTAACTTTAAAAACAATAAATCCAAATGTAACAATAAGGTAACCATTTCCTAAATATCACTTTACCGTTTATTTGTGATGTTATGTATATTGTGTTTTTTTATTTTCAGATTAAGTAAGAGGTAAGCTTGGTTCGGTTAAAGTATTTAAAAAGCAAATACGATTTTGGAATTTTTTATTAAAAAACTGCCTTACTGATGAGTACTTAATTAATTACCATAGAGCTTGATTGGCGCTCGACCCTCTCAGACTAATCCATCATCACTTGCTGTAAAGTGTTTGGCTGAATTCCTGTGTATCCAGACGATGGCTTGAATGGTATTTTAAATAGAGAGCCGTGCAGATCAAGAGTTCGGATTTATCGAACAATCTGATATTAGAAAAATCTCCTCGACAACTTAAAATTATCTATTTTATGGTGTTGGCTACTTTAAACTGATTTTAGGCATAATACACCTACTACTGTGATATCAGGATTGTTGAAACACAATTTAATGTTTCTCTCGGCATGATTTTACTGACTGACGATACTGTCTATGTTTGCTCAAAATATTATTTCTTTTGGAGCGGCTTCAACTGCCTGAAGGAGTTTATTTAAATGTGTGTGTTCCTTGAATACCAAACAGACTGCAATTGTTACCTTTTATTTTAACTGTTAAGAAATGCAGGAATCTTTTTCATAACTCATGAATTTTAACAATTTCAAGATCCAAAATGTCACTGTAGCTCCCAATTTTTAAGTTTGCTGCTCACTACAGTGTTTGCCAATCAAAAAAATAACCTGTTTTTGTAGATAACCCTAAAGGCAGTTTAGCTGCAGAGCTGGGTTTCATTTTTTCTGATTTCCTGAGAAAGTATTTGCAGCATTTGTGAGGTACAAAGGCCAGAGTGATGAGATATACAGGCAAGTCTCAGTAAACAAAAAGGAAGACTACCATACAAAGGAACAAAAGAATAAGAAATTAGACTAATACTGGCAATATTATACTCACAACAGTCAAAGAAGAATGACAATTATTAACAAACATAACAAGTTGTCCAAAAATGTTTAGATTCATTTGCTGTAAAATTCCACAGAAAATTGTTCAACTACAGTACAGGTGTTTACCTATGATTCAAAAATGGCATTCATTTCGAGATTTTTAGGGTAAATGTACTTTATTAAATTTGCCCAAAACACATTTTTCTGTAATAAAATAGTTTTGATTACTTTGAGCATGAGGTATCTGGATCTTCTTACTGCAGTCGGATGAAAGAGAGGGGCTCTTCAACCCATACTGAACTATTATTCGCTCTGACTCTTTCATTGACCACACACACACACACACACACACACACACACACACACACACACACACACACACACACACACACACACACACACACAATGTCCTGAAAGCAGAAAAGGAATTGCTTCACATCTTGCTATTGATTCAGTAGCTGGTTGAGTGACAGGTCAACACATGGTATTGCACCTATCTCTCAAATGAATTTCAAGCTTTTTCAAAGAGAGAAGAAAGTATAAACCACTGTTTGATAATGCCTTCTATATGAGTCACTAAACTATTTCATGTCATAACACTGAATAACATATAGATTACAGTTTATATTTAATATCACTAATATAAGTGAAATAGTGTGCTTACTTTACTCGACTGTATTTAACCATCAGTGTGTGCGGTCTAACTCTTTAGATTCAGATTGAAAAACACAACCTGCTGCACTTACACTTCAGTTCTCGTCTTTGCACATTCACTTAATGAAGCAGTGGTCTCAGGGTTGTTGTGATGTTAATAGTAAAGATTTCCCATACAGTATATGCCTGCATGGACATGACATTTTAACATAGAGCATGGTGTCAACGAGCACATTCTCAGTGTGCAAACGGTATGACCTGAAGTGATTCCAAACTGATAGCTATTTTAATATTAATATAACATGCAAACTCTTTAAGTGTCATTACATTTTTGTATTTTACAAATTAAATTGTTAAAAGAACCATGGGTCTTCTTTTTACAACGGCAGTATTAACTATTTTATTAAGATGTTGACAATAATTTCTTAGAATTATTGATACGAGGCAAACAAAGATTATCCAACTCCTCTCGCTGGTATAACTTGTTAAAGCTGAATTTGAGTGACTTGTTAAAACACAGTTTTTGAATGTCAACAACCAGTGCAAACTAGAGAAAGATTATTCC